CCTGTCACATAATAGTTTTATTTCATTCGTGTTCACCGCAACATTAAAAACTTCGTCACAACAGCCTCTTCTTTCAAAGCGAAAAACGCACGACAACCTTGGCGTCAAATGGCCACACTACGCACACTCGTCCGTGACGCCTTCAGAACATAGACAGTCAGAAGTTGTACCTTTTGCCAGAGGGACTATCAATCTTCCATTTATATTTTCAGATGTACATATTTTACGGCTCATTCTTTCTGTCGAGTGGTCTTCCTTCCCCAAGGAAGGATGGCGATATTTGGGCATTGATCCACGAAGAGTCGCCCATGAACAAAGATTGGCTGTTTTCATTCAGGAGCACTATGGAGCTGTTCAACTACACATCGACTTTCAAGAGGGGTTCTGACTACCCGCTCACCACCCACTGGCTGACAAACAAAGAGACACTGCTCAGTAAAGAATATTTATTCCCCACAGACAGAAAGAACGTGATGAGGACAGATGGTGGCCTAGCTCCAATTATATTTGTCCACAGCGACTGCAACACACCATCCAACAGGGAGCAGTACGTCACGACGTTGCAGAACTATGTCGATGTAGATTCCTACGGCCCTTGTCTCCACAACAAGGACTTGAAGACACAGAAGAGTGAGTCTACCTGAACCATATGCAGTCAAACATACACACACACACAGACACACAGACAGACATACACGAATACAGACACACACACAGACATACAGACAGACATACACGAATACAGACACACACATATACACACTGATACAGTCAAACATACACACACAGACATACAGACAGACATACACGAATACAGACACACACACATACAGACACACACACATACAGACAGACATACACGAATACAGACACACACATACAGACACACACACAGACATACAGACAGACATACACGAATACAGACACACAGACACAGACACACACATATACACTGATAAAGTCACAAATACAGACACTCACATACACAATCATACACATTCATACACATACACACATAAAGATACACACACAGACATACACGCATAAAGACACACGCACATACATGCAGACATGCACACACACATACACAGGGAATATGCCCATTTAACGAATATTATCAACCCAACACACATACACACACACATACACACACACATAAACACACACACACACACACATACACACGCACACGCACACGCACACACGCACGAACATGCACACACACACACACACACACACACACACACGCGCGCGCGCACACACACACATGCACACAAACACACACACACATATACACACACACGCGCACACATTATGTATCCCGAGCCTGTTTTCACTTAGTCATATATGTATTTTGGAGGCAAATGGAACCCATCGTTTAGGCCATGGCATACATGTAACTGGGCTCGTTATCATTTCAACACAATGTTAATTTGTTATCATAATATATAGCATGGTCAGTACAGCTCATAATCTTTTACCACATTTCCGACCTACATGCACTCACTGTTATCAAAATGTAGACTGGGCAAGTCTATCTATTTTGTTAGAAAGATACAGTGTGGAATGAACAGCACTTTGCAACTATTAAACTGTAACCATTCTTTTTCTGTTGCATATAGATTCAAGAAACTCGACGGTATAGCAGGATACATGAAGCCAGACTTTTTGAGACTTGTCGCCCGCTACAAGTTTGCCATAGCTTTTGAGAACGCCATTTGTGACGACTACATCACAGAGAAGTTGTGGCGCCCTCTACAGGTGGGAACTGTCCCTATTGTGCTCGGCTCGCCGACAATCAGGGTGAGATGACTTTTGTGTGTGGACACATTTCGGTGAGAGTATATGTTCTTTTACTTGGACCACGAGACAAAAAGATGGGCGAGATGTCTTTTTTGTGTGGTGGCATTTTCGTTAGGGTATATAAGTATATATTTTCTGAGGCTGTACCCAAGACACACAAAGTCGTAAGTCGTAGATGTAAAGGCATAATCATAATTACATTTTCTAAACAACTTCGATACAATAAACGACTACGATAGGGCAGAGGGTAAGCTTTGGTCTTAAGTATAGTTATCGTCTCGTGTAACGGATGAATGGAAACGTTTTGCAGTAAGCTATTCAACTTAGCGTTAGACAAGACTAACGGAGTAGCTGGTCATCCATGTACAGGTGGAGGGTTCGACAGCGAAGAAAGATTTTTCCTGAACCATTGTTATCATCATGATTATTTTTCAACCACAATCTAAGAATCACGGGTTCTACGTTTGACGCATGTATGCCTAAATGTTCATTTAACCTTCGAGGACACATCCAGACACAATAATACAGTAACTTAATATATGATTTGAAACTGTGAACCCCCATTGTGATCTGTTTCTATTATCTGAAGAGCTGAATGAGAAAAACTAAAGAAGAAAGATAAACTAACGAATAAAGAATGAATGTTAAAGTGCGACTGTGCCGATAAATCATTTCTGTTTTATGGTCATGTTATAAATGTGTACTGTGGCATTAAAGGCGTGAAAGGACTTTGAGAATATATTTGTCATGAATTGAAAAAACATGTAGTCGACTAGAATGTTAGCTCTCAGCCTCGGAAAGAATAGTAATTATTATACATCTTTTTTTCTGATTGTAGTTTTTTCTATTCAAATAAATGCAATTTAAAATCAGCTCTACTTAAAACGTACTTTCAGGACTTTTTACCATCCACCAAATCAGCGATTCTGGTCGAAGACTTTGACACTATTCAAGACTTGGCTGCGTTCATCAAGCAGCTTGATCGGAACGACGAACAGTATGAGTCATACCTCCAATTCAAACACACGGACATTTCAAATCCAACGCTGAAGTCAGAACTCGTGCGGGTATCACCAGGGGAGTATGCAGGTGGACGTTTTGGGAAGGCTGCTTCAGGATATGAGTGTTTCCTCTGTGACAAACTTCACAACGCGCTTAATGCAACTAAAGCCGGGAAGCCTGTCGCGAAAGCACAGGCAAATCTGAACCATTTTGGATGTCCTTTACCTGCACAGAAATTTGACGAAAACGGCCAAATCGTCCCCGACCATCGCCGAAAGCATGAGTTGGCATTCTACCATATGAACGCGCAGGTGTTCCGCCAGTTCTATGACAGGGCTGAGAACATCACGTCTCACGATCTGTACACAGCCACAAAACAACGATTGAGAAAGGTGCAGGCGAAACAGGAAGACTTGTAAAGCAGGTTTTACTAGGATAAAAAGTAACTTATGGAGTTTACTTGAATCTGTATTTTAAAACCCAAAACCCGCCTGCATCCATTAACCAATATATTGTATCTGACGTGATAGATGTTTATTACTTATCCCTTACTTACTATTGCAAACTTTATCCCACGAGGAGTGCGAGTGATCAGCTAAATATGGGCAGACATTCATTTTCTGAGTTGTTTGAAAATAAATATGCTTCAGATTTTAGTTGCGATTGTTATTAATTTCAAACCGTGTTTACATGTTCATCAAAAGTTGAAATCTCATGCAAAACAACTAAACAGGTGTTTGCATTACGTGCCAAAATGCAAGCAAACCCACCCCAACCTTATCTTTAATGTCTCTAACGTATTCGCCACCAGCAACAATATATCCATATATATTAGATGACAGCTGACCTCACCAATATCTGTGTTCATCTTTCAGCCCTAACGTTGTCTTGTGCAGGACAACTTTAAAGGACAACAACACTCCAATGTTGAAAGTATTAAAAAAAGGATGGCTTTTTCTTCACAGATTCAGAGTTTCCATATAATGGACTATAATCTTGACTTGTTTGACTTGCTTATTGGAATCCGGTGAGTAAGTGAGTTTAAATTTAACGTCGCATCAGAAAGTTGAGGTATTGTTGCCCTTTTAAAGTCAGAAAGTCACATTCTTAAAGCTTCATTTATAACAAAGGGTCTATAACATATGTTATAAGAGTGTGTTTGAGAAAACAAATTATGACAGTGTATTAATCCTGCACAAGAGACTCACTGTATATGTTGTCGAAAACGAACTCATGATAATCAAGACGGGTTAAGGAATTGACGACTTGTAAAACTAAGAGCCAAAATAGTTCGAATGACTTATTTACGTGTTTACTATGTTTATAAACAAATTTGAAACCTCACATCATGGTCAGCCTTCGACGGGCTTCGTCTATCAGGAAACAGGCCTTGCTGATGTTTCAGGATATAAACACATACAATGTATTTTCTCATGCTAAAGTAAACAGTGAAAATATATAACTTGGAACTCCTCATTCAATTTCCACTTTATGCTTGTTACAGTCACAATTCCCGGATTATAATTTCTCGTGAACGTGATTCTTTAACGTAGACGTAGACACTTCGTGATGCACAGATTGTTGACGATTAGCATTGCAGGCACATCTCAGAGATGTCCATACTGATATTAAAGTGTAGCGAATGTAGTTCGCTGTGGACGTGAACTTGGCAGCGTTGTGGACAAGGTGAAGGTTATTCAGTTATTCGGGATATAGCCCGTATGACAAGTATTTCTCTGTTTGCTTTGATATCTTTAAATATTATGTGAAACATTACTGAAATAAGATCAATTGAATTTTAATACGATTTTAATTCGACGAAGGCCAGTAACATATCAGCGAAAGGTATCTCTGCATGAGACGCGAAGTAACACAGTGAAAGTGAACAGCATATATCCTTGCCTACCCCAGAAACGTACCCGACGCATTTTCGTTTTTAAATCTACGAAAGGACGTTTAACCTTACTGCAACATTTTATACAATTTGTCCAAAAAACCCATAAGTATCTCCCTCCCTTACCCACAGTGTTGATCCAACGTACCAGGTTAACGTTACCATAAGACTCAGTTGAAAGATTTATGTCATGCAAGGAGGAGCATAAACAAGTTTATCTCATAGATAACATTAGTACTCTGAGTTATACAAGTAGATCACATGGTTGGGCGTATACTGATCTTGTGACTGGAGAGATATCATAACAACACAGGACAGGGGACAACTTAGAGGTAGGTTTGGTGTTGGCACGTGACATAACATGGAATAATTCCGTTATATATAAATCCTTCCCTTACACATTATTAATAGACATTTGTTAATATTTAAGATTGGTCGATGTTTCGCTAGCACCGCCAAAGTATATATTTTGGGGGGTAAATGATTTAGGAAGAGATAAGACATTAAATATATATTTTATTATTTATAGCCAACCGGAGATCAAGAAGTGTAAGTAATTTTCTAACGGGTCGACCCGCAGCCCTCAGTGGAGACATACAGACCAACTGTTTCTATACTATGAAGGGATGGCGCGATACGGTAACCGCCGCTAGATAGTTGTAGAGAGTGAACTCTGGTCCTACTGTGTACACAGAACTGCGACTGTACGTTCGCTGTTGATAGGCTCTTGACATTACAATACTCATAGGAGAACTGGCAAGGTAATTGCAAGTGTCTTTTGAAAACATTTGTTATCGTAGCTCTTGCCGTTGGAAACACCCATTTCATGACCAGACCCTGATACTCGTATCTTCCTTTGTTGTATTTCATATATGAACAGTTTTTATCAAAATCGCATAAAGCTGCAGTAATGGTGCATTATCTTCTTTTCAAACACACCAGTGTATGTACTGCCTTCATACAAGAACCTGTCAGTTCAACGCAATCTGTCATGCCAGCATTGGATGCTGTAACAATTATGCAAAATATTTTCACAAAAATGACCTCGCATTAACAATTCCTGTATAAGAAGTAATGTTGATTTGTACCAGTATATAATGGCATGTATAGCTAACACATGCATATATGTGTTCCCCATGAAGATCCGGGTTAGAATGGGTCTTCGGCAATCAATGCTTGTCGTATTGTGTCATGTCATCATGTCCTAATTACCTAGATCGATGCTCAGGATGTCAGTCACAACCTTGTTTGGTCCAGACGCGATAATGTACAGATCGCCGTCATATAACTGGAATAGTTCCGAGTGCGGCGTTCAACAACAAACACAACAAAACGCTTGTAGAGGATAATACATGAGTGTGTTTCCGTATCATAAATATCAAAATTTATAGAATAAAAGTTGAATTGTTCGACCCTGTAACGAGCATACAACACACCGTGTATTCCTCATATTTGATATTTACAATTCGGAATCACACGAGGGTAATCCTTTTACCCTGACATGTCATTTTTACAATAATCTCGATCAATGATGTTCAATTTTTCAACCTGATCTCACTCAGCTTCAGAAACCGTGTATGAATATAGTGATTGAGTGAAGTGTCCCATTTATCATACGGTGATTTACAGCCATGTTTGTCGATATGATTATCCATATATCGGGAAGAAACTTTCGTCTATAGGTTACAGATGAAGCAGATATTGAATCGATGTAATGAGATTAAAAGTTGTACCTGCTCGCTGACCATTCGCACGTTAATGGGATCATTATACCAAATATGACATGACACAGGACACAGCTGGCAACCACATGCACAAAACTGTCATAGGCCACAGCATCACTATCTCTCCAGATATAAACTGGTGACACAGTGCAGGCCTCGTAATCTCAGGTAAGGCTAGTTGCTTGATGCATATCATCGTATCCCAATGACGTGGGTCGATGCTCATTATGTCAATAACTGGATTGTCTGGTACAGACTCGATTGTTTACAGGCCGCCGTCATATAGTTGGAATATTGCTGAATGCAGCGAATGCAGGGATAATTAAGACAAATGTTTGAATGCTTTTACAATCCTTATTTGGTTGATATAAGAATTCATGTTGCCAACTAAAACAAACAATTAATTTTAGCTAGCTTCTCAGCTGTTTCGTTTCATGTTTCTTCCAGTCTCACACATATATAAATGAGCGTTCAGTTGTTTTTATGTAGGGTCATAGGAGATATTGAAGTAGTATATCATTATTCAACAAATACAGCATAAATCCATAGTTATATTTATCAACACGTTTTAAAGCACAGCTGTCCATCGAAGAGTGACCCTTCAGCATGACAATGCAACTCAACATCTGTTTTGATCAATGAGACGTCCCCATTGGGTTACATTCTTCACTCACAGACTCAAGTGTAAATTTGTATTTGTAAACGCAGCCTACCGTGAGATAAATACTCATTCAGCCAGCATATACCTACTCATGGAGATGACACTATCTCAATAGATATATGGAAATGAACACCGTCCTGTAGAAGTAAATAGGGATATTCCTTCATCGCACAGATCCTAACTCGATCAGGGCCATGTATCATTACATCAATAAGTCATGAAGGAATAGTAAAACACGTAAATACATGCGTTAAATCTCGTGTATTGAAATCAGTAAATGCTATCATGCTAATAGTGTCAGAGGCTAAACATCAGTAATCATACGTACTGAGGGAAACAAGTAAGACATTACCTGTAGGGTATCGCACGTGCCACATATGCAGGTTTTGTGTTCAAGTAAAACGAAACAAGAGATTATTCAGCATGCAGTGAACATATATGATACTAACATTACACTCCGTGACTTCGATTAGTGATCTGAAGCTTCTGACCACAACAGTATACATGGCTTTTTTAATTTATTTTTTATAACATGCGGAGGCCCCAGGAATCCTGCTGGTGTAAGAGTGGTATAACACCTACACCTGTTTCTCGAGCTTAAGCTGTTTACATGACGGAGTGTTGATCTGCCCGTTAACATTACTTAGAAATACTGGTCAGATTTATATTTACGTTTCATGTTAGAAAGAGTTAATTTATCTGTGGTATATTTTTTATCTAAAAGATTTGTGGCATGTGAATCACCACAACTGGTATATAGCTGCTTGCCCAAACTCTCCCTCACGCATGCAACCTTTTATTTCTTGTGCTGACATAAACGTCAAACGAGTGTGTATAACATCCTAGGATATAACAAAAATACTGTTTAGAGTGTGTACTGTCAGTTTATATTGACATGTCCCGATCTCTCACGTTGTTATAGGAATCATCCTGAATTCGACCCAGGAACCTACGTTGTCATCAGTTTTGATCTCTCATGAATCACCACTAGTCGAGATTTCGTAGTTGCCTTCCTTAGTATGTCATGCGGAAGGGACAGGTTGGCACAGGTGTGTACCATGGCGGGATTTCGTTATTTCAAGGTAATAAAAAAATGTAAAGCATATTGATGTATATTTCTTTTATTGTTATGGGTTTTACAAATGTTTGACATTCAGGTTAACAAAGTCATTCGTCGACGTGTAAAAATGACACAATAGAGATATGTTGACTTGGTCCTGAATACTAACGTTCACAGTTACCTCCCTTGTATTGTGACTGTGAGGGGGGCGTGTCTACAACCAGAAAAGCAAGGCTTGGTTGGTGTTGACGGAGGTGGATTAAAGGTCATAAATACAGGACCCTATTGGTAGTTGTTTTAAAGTTAGCTTTTAATATAAAAACAAATGCGCATTTGAATCAATGACGTTTGAGTTTACTGCCTCATCTACATGAGAGAAGTTGACATCAAATCTCATCTCACATGATCACAATACATTCATATATTCAGTTTCGGTTCAACTATTCTAGGTAAATCCTCTTTTGTGTGGAAACAATGATCGAGCCTGTTCTTATGACAGAATTCATGAAAACTATAATGTAGGAACATATTTTATTGAAACAATAGTATAAACAAATACATAGGCACGCGCTTCTGAAACACCTTGTTTGACATGAAGTCAAGATATGTAGAATCTGTTATTCCTGTAACACTATGGAAGGATCGATGTGGTTATTTTTGTGACAAGAAATTATATGTAAACGACTCAATCATGGATTTACAGAGGCGTTACAGCAAACTTAGTGGTGCACACAAGTTAATGATGAAGTAAGTTTGGTGTAATGCCGCTAAATGCAGTATTTCAGTTATATCATCGTGTGTCAGCTTGATATGGAAGGTTAGCCCGAAGTCGTAGTCTAGAAATGTTATTGTCTCAAACTAAACACATGTAACGCCATTTCAAAGACGGAACATCTTCAGCTGAAATTATTTCTTGGAAAAGTGAGCAGTTATTTATGTTTTACAGATGGCGACGGCACGATCTAAGAAAGTTAAAGAATTCCTCACCTGTGTGATCTGCCAGGAACTGTACACAGATCCCTGTACACTGAGGTGTGATCACACATTCTGCAGGAAATGTGTCACAGGATACATCCAAACCAGACCAGATGCTGTACAATCCAAGACGATCCCCTGTCCCTGCTGTCGACAAGATACAAAGGTCCCCCACCCAAGCAGGCCCGTGGCAGAGTGGGCCACCCAGATCAAACCCAGCATCATTATACAGGGGCTGATTGACACTCAAGCTGAGGTTGTCAAAACAGGTAATGGTTTATTATATTATGAATTACACATTCATTTCACAAACTGAAACCTAGTAATAAGAATTATGTTTGTAATGAAGGCATGTTAAGGGGTACTCATTATTTGTTTAAACATGCAGTATAATTACAGTACTGCTGTTAACAGTATGTTAAATGATACCAACTGACTCCACTAAACGACTCCAGAAAAAATACATTTGTTATAAACATGACTTAACTGTAATCACGGCACAGAAATATTTACAATATATGTTGACGTCAGGACAATGTTCCAGCGATATCACTGCGGGGGACTGCTGATTATTATCGGTTTACATGATGCTAATATAATCAGATCATCCATAAAGCACTTGAAAATATTAGTATCTGAAAACATCTACAAATGGCAGTTTTAGGTTGATAATAGTGAGTGAGTGAGTACGTATTTTTGCCGCCTTCAGCAATGTTCCAGCGATATCACTGTGGCTTCACACATTATACTCATGTGGGGAATCAAACCTGGCTAACACTTAAACCACAAGGCTTCCCCACGGCCCCTGATAATAGTGATCAGAAGTGTACACTTATAAGTGTAATTGTACCTGTTGAAACTACATGTACATAACTGGGTGAATGAGTTCAGTTGTACGCCACTGCTAATCATGCCAATGCAGGGCTTCACACATCAAACCCTTGGGCGTGACGAGCGAACACTTTATCTCCAAGCCTACACCCACCGCCCTATTCGTGCATTGAAAATAGGTGAGAGGGGGTGATTTTACCTGGATTCTCAATCTTCTAATTTATATAAATATTCTCCTGATATGTCAAATAACTATAGACATGTCCACTTACAGGTTCCGCTTCATGTTGCTCAGTGTGTGAGAAGTTAGGGGAGACAACTCCGGGAGCCTCATGGTGTTCTGAGTGTCAAGTGTCCCTCTGCAAAAGATGTGTCAAGATACATCGTGCAAGTCCAGCATCACATGACCATGAAACATGTGACCTTTCAGGGGAGGTCAAGGTGAAAAGGAGACGCAAGGTCATGTGCAGGGAACACAAGGATGAGGTTATAAAGCTTGTGTGTAAAGACTGCCACAAAGCTGTGTGTCAGACATGTTGTGTTGTTTACCATAGGAAATGTGAGTCTGTCGTTACCATTCAGTCAATGTTGCCAAACCTGAAATACCATTTAAGAAGGCATGCTAAACAGTTATCAAAGAAAACACATAGAAAAGAAAAAATTGTTAAGAAAACAGACAAGAAAATTAGCGGAATTGAGAAAAACAAAATAGCAGTAGAAAATCACATTAAATCTGCTGTTGAGAGAGCCATAGCCAACATCAAGCAAAAAGAAAAACAGTTGATGAATGAATTCAAGGATATTACAGACAAACAAACCAAGCAACTTAAAGCAGATGTTAAACTTGAAGAGATTGAGATGCAGATGTACAAACAACATTGTGAGTTCATTGACCAGGCCTTGGTATCGGAATGTGAGATGGACCTGTATGACGCGTATCAGACTTGGGATTCGGGGGCTGTAGAGTTGGGGGATGTCAGGGACACAGACACAGCAGACACACGGAGAATAGAAGACATCAGGTTTACACCCGACACTGACAACGTCCAGCACATCCTAGATGACCTACAGTTGGGGAAGATTGACGTCACATACCAGGATCAGGGACCATGTCTGACGTCTCCAGTGCTGGTTGACGTGATAGATGGGAGAATGGCGGTTGATGAGGTGGAGCCTTATATACGTGACATCACAGTCCTGGTTGTAGGTGGTATACAGACATGTGTTGTCAGTGACTTAAATAACAAGTGTGTGAAATCCTTCTACACTAGAAACAACGTGACATGCCACAGGAAACTTCCCCTGGACGACTCTCCATGGGGTGTGACACAGTTGAAGGAAAACCTGGTGATGGTTGCTGTCCCTGAATCCAGTCAGATTGTAACAGTAGCAGTAACCCCTGACCTTGTGCTGCTCTCAACCATCACAACAAGCAAGTGGTACGTCAGTCTCGCTGTTCTGAATCCTTCATCTCTAGCAGCAGGTACTTGGGACTGTGTTGATATCCTGGACATGGGGGGACACGTGCTGAGGTCAGTTACTACACACAACAATGAGACACTGTTTCCCTCCCCCTGGTACATGTGTGTCAATAACAAGGGCAAAATACTCGTGTCTGACAGGGGTGAGCAGTCTGTGACTTGTGTGACGTCAGAGGGGGATGTTGTGTGGAGATACGCCCCTACCGGAGACAGAACACTCATCCCTTGTGGTATCTCAACTACTCCAACAGGAGACATCCTGGTTGCAGACAGGAACAAGGTGATACGGCTGACAGAGACAGGGGATTATGTCACAGATCATCAGGGCATTTGCTTTGATCCACTGGGATTGTATGTAGATAGACATGACACACTGTATGTTTGTGGTGAAGGTCAGACACACGAAGTCAGCTTCATGTAGTCACACCAACCACTGCATGCTTTTAATCATCACTATCGCTGGTGTTAAATTCACTATAACAACTCAAAATGGACTCTTCCGATTGGGGTGTGAATGATCATATCATATCATGTCCACATTATTACACATCACATTATGTGTTTTGCAACCTGGTTCTCTTTATTAAATTGCCTCCGTGTTCTCGTAAGTACGGTGTCGACCGGGAAGGCGAAAAGCCCGTGGTTTGATCCCAATCTGCTCAAGAGATACCAATACTTCACTCTATTCTTAGTAGATATGATATGGTTTACTTGTTATTGAAGTGCTCACATGACTTTTTGGACCTGTGGATGGTCACTTGATATATTGTTCAATGACACTAATGAGTTCCCAACTCTTGAGACCATCAGTGGGTTCCCGGATCGGGTTGATTACCCGGGCTGTAGATTTGGACTCGTCCCAGCTCCAGTCAGTATCATGTTAGGTACATGGTCCATTGCACCGTGGTCATAGAATGTTTTTTTACTTTACTAGATAGAAGATAGGGTGTTCCATATAGGATGTTTGTGATGTAATGAAGTTTGTTTTGTTGAACGTTATGGTGAGCCACTTAATAACAAATAGCTCCTGAATTATACTTGTACAGAGGAACACTTCAACAATTGTGTAATTGTGTCCATATCAATAGTGATTATAATAGTGTGGTATGTATAATTCATTTCGTTGTTCAATTGTCAAATATAAACTGTAAGTGATTCCATGTTAATGTTTGACTAAAAATGAAATTATTTTTGTGCGTCAGCTCCATAATCAGAGATCATAAAATAGATTTAGTTTACTCTGCATAAACTGAACAAATATTAGGCCACGCACACCCTCGGATTTGTTTCATGACTGGCTTATAATAGAGTTGGTAGATTTTGTGTTGCACTATTGCGCTGTACAGTGTCATATTTTGAATCGTCTGCTCTTTGTTTGTGTTAATGTCTTTATGAAGTTGTTATTGTTGACTTGTAAAATATATTTATGTGCTTCGAGGGGTATGCACACTTTGCGTTTTATACGAAGATTCTAAATAACAAGTGAACGCATGGTATGCACACAATTTTTTTTAGATTTATACCTCCATAAACACAATACATATTGAAGTTAATTCTTAAATAGATAAATTGCAAGTGAGTCCGTTGCATTAGATTGGTTAACCTAAAATATTGATATCTTTTACTTATTTGTACCGCACACATAATCATTTGATCGTTTTATATAGCATTTACACCCAGCAAGAGCAGAATGTATTTTTCACAAATAAAAAACGTGACTCAACCATACCATTGTCTGTCATGTACTTACACGTCCATACACGCAAAAATATTGAAGTCAATTCTTAATCCATAACTGGATTCCAAAGGAGGTATCGCTGCATTGAAGTTGCGTCACAATGTTTTGCAGACCAGTGTGATATCATCGGTTACCATGACGCCACGATCAACTGACATACCTTTTCTCTCTGCCACTGAAGCTGGTCAGCTGTACTTTTTTACACTGGAGACACTTAATATTACTCTTTACAGCTGAAAAGGTTGAAAGAATTCTAAACAGAATCTCACCTCGTACACTTCTGTTGTTAGACATTAGGGCTGGGTAAGGTGGGTCCTGAGTTGGGTGGGTCCTAGGTTGGATCTGGGCACCCACAAGATTACCCGGACCCATAGTTAGTCACATGATATATTGTTCAATAACAATAAAACTCCATGGCTACACCACAAATCACTAATGTTTCCTATTTCTTTCTGACGATCCACCTATTCCTTCTGACTTTTATATATCTGAGTAAAGGTAAAGCTTCAGTCAACCTCAGTGTATGCATGATCAGTTCGTTTATACATGTATCGAAAGGGTTTTTGCGAGGGCTCCTGTAACACATTTCTGATCAGGCATTTTCTACCCTACTCGAATCCTACAGCAGGTTCCCTTGTCGGGTGAGGTCAGGGTGTAGGGCACCTGGGTAGGTTTAGGTAATAGGGGGTCGAGTACCTGGGTAGGGTCAGGTAAAAGGGAGTCTGGTACCTTGGTAGTACATTTGGACTAGTAGCCATCTACCTGTCTGTTCAGGTTCGAATTATGTTTTCAACCTGCTTAATGTTTGAGATTAATATTATGAGCATGTCATGACACTCAAACCAAAGTGTTAGGTTTGAAAAACCCTTCATAATTGTTGAAAATCTTTAAGAATATTCTACCAAAGCACACGGTCAAGGAATCTGGAACAATTATATGACGTCTAGCAGCACAATTAGATTTGTGCATGCAATTATAATAACTTTTGTTCACGGTATTTTTACTTGTTCTTACGGAACTCTCCCTATAGCACAGATCCGTCATGGAATGTATCCAAATACTGCACGTCTGGGCAAGGTTAAGTCATTGTGCCGTCACACACAACTACAACAAAACAACTAAACAGGTGTTTGCATTACTTGCCAAAATGCAAGCAGACCCACTCCAACCTTATCTTAAATGTCCCGAACCCTTTTGCCACAAGCAACAATATATCCAGAACCATTTGGACTTCACCAAATTAGGTGACAGCTGACCTCACCAATATCTGAATTCATCTTTCAGCCCTAACGTTGTCTAGTGCAGGACAAATTTAAAGGACAATGTTGAAAGTATTGAAAAGTTGATGGCTTTTTCTTTGTAGATTCAGAGTTTCCATATAATGGACTATAATCGACTTGTTTGACTTGCTTATTGGAATTTGCTGAGTAAGTGAGTTTAAATTTAACGTCGCATCAGAAAGTTGGAGTATTGTTGCCCTTTTAAAGTCAGAAAGTCACATCCTTCTAGCTTCATTTATAACAAAGTTATGATCAAGTCCAGGGTCTATAAGATATGTCATAAGAGTGTGTTTTAGAAAACTGATTGTGACAGTGTTTTAATCCTGCACAAGAGAATCACTGTATATGTAGACGAAAACGAACTCATGATAATCAAGAAAGGTTAAAGAAGTGACGACTTGTAAAAATAAGAGCCTAAATAGTTCGAATGACTAATTTACGTGTTTACTATGTTCAAAAACAAATTTGAAACCTCACATCATGGTCAGCCTTCGACGGGCTTCGTCTATCAGGAAACATGCCATGCTGATGTTTCAGGATATAAACGCATTTTCCCATGCTAAAGTAAACAGTGAAAATATCTATTGGAACAATTTGCAATTCATGCTTGTTCCAGTCACCATTCCCGGATTGTTATTTCTCTTTCGTGGCGTGATTCTTGTACGCAGACACTTCGCGATACGCAGATTGCTGATGATTAGCATTGCAGGCACATCTCAGATATGTCCATACTGATATTAAAGTGTAGCGAATGTATTTCGCTGTGCACGTGAACTTGGCAGCGTTGTGGACAAGGTCAAGGTTATTCAGTTATTCGGGATATAGCCCGTATGACAAGGATTTCTCTGTTTGCTTTGATATCTTTAAATATTATCTGAAACATTACTGAAATAAGATCAATTGAATTTTAATACGATCTTAATTCGACGAAGGCCAGTAACATATCAACGAAAGGTATCTCTGTATGAGACGCGAAGTAACACAGTGAAAGTGAACAGCATATATTCTTGCACCGCTCATGTACCTACCCAAGAAACGTACTCGACGCATTTTCGTTTTTAAATCTACGAAAGGACGTTTAACTTTACTGCAACATTTTGACAACACAGTGTTGATCCAACGTACCAGGTCAACGCTACCATAAGACTCAGTTGAAAGATATACATCGTGCAACGAGGAGCATAAACACGGTGTGTTTACTTTGGAAATTCGGCTTAGAAAGTTAACTACTTCCACCAAAAATGCTTCAGAGATACTCAAAGCTTCTTGAAAAGGAGTCTGCACTATTTGTCTGCTTTCTGTTTATCTTCTAAAGTGAAGGCCTATCTCATAGATAACATCAGTATTCTGAGTTACACAAGTAGATCACATGGTCGGGCGTACACTGATCTTGTGACTGGAAAGATATCATATCAACCCAGGACAGGGGGCAACTGAGAGGTAGGTTTGGTGTTGGCACTGGACATAACACGGAATAATTCCATAATATCCAAATCATTACCTAACATATTATTAGTAAACATTCGTTAATATTTAATATTGGTCGATATTTTTCTAGCACCGCCAAAAGTATATTTTTTTGGAGGTAAATGATTTAGGAAGAGATAAGAGATAAAATATATATTTCATTATTTATAGCCAACCAGAGATCAAGAAGTGTAAGTCATTTTCTAACTGGTCGACCCGCAGCCTTCAGTAGAGACATATAGACCAACTGTTTCTATACCATGAATGGATGAGGCGATACGGTAACCCCCGCTAGATAGTTGTAGAGAGTGAACTCTGGTCCTACTGTGTACACAGAACTGCGGCTGTACTTTCACTGTTGATAGGCTCTTGACATTACAATGCTCAAAGGAGAACTGGCAAGGTAATTGCAAGTGTCTTTTGTAAATATTCGTTATCGTATCTCTTCCCGTTAGAAACACCCATTTCACGACCAGACCCTGATACTCGTATCTTCCTTTGTTGTATTTAATACATGAACAGTTTTTATCAATATCGCATAAAGCTGTAGGAATGGTGCATTATCCTTTTTTCACATCTATACACCAGTATATGTACTGCCTTCATACAACAACCTGTCAGTTAAACGCAATCTATCATGCCAACATTGGACGCTTTAACATTTATGCAAAATATTTTCACAAAAAGGACCTCGCATTAAAAAATCCTGTATAAGAAGTTGATTTGTACCAGTATATAATGTATAGCTAACACATGCATATACTGTATGTGTTCCCCATGAAGATCCGGGTTAGAATGGGTCTTCGGCAATCAATGCTTGTCGTATTGTATCATGTCATCGTGTCCTAATTACCTAGATGTCAGTCACAACCTTGTTTGGTCCAGACGCGATAATTTACAGATCGCCGTCATATAACTGGAATAGTTCCGAGTGCGGCGTTCAACAACAAACACAACAAATCACATGTAGAGAATAATACATAAGTGTGTTTCCGTATCATAAATATCAAAATTTATAGAATAAAAGTTGAATTGTTCGACCCTGTAACGAGCATACAACACATTCCTCATATTTGATATTTACGATTCGGAATCACACGAGGGTAATCTTGTCACCCTGTCATATCATTCTTACAATAATCTCGATCAATGATGTTCAATTTTTCAACCTGATCTCACTCAGCTTCAGAAACCGCTTATGAATATAGTGTTTGAGTGAACTGTCCCATGTATCATACGGTGATTTACAGCCATGTTTGTCGACATGATTATCCACATATCGGGAAGAAACTTTCGTCTATAGGTTACAGATGAAGCAGATATTGAATCGATGTATGGAGATTAAAAGTTGTACCTGCTCGCTGACCATTCGCACGTTAATGGGATCATGATACCAAGTATGACATGACACAGGACACAGCTGGCAACCACATGCACAATACTGTCATAGGCCACAGCATCACTATCTCTCAAGATATAAACGGGTGACACAGTGCAGGTCTCGTAAACTCTTCTGTGTGTACCTGAGCCCCGTTACACAAAGTGACCTTAGCCTTACACCATAATATGTTGGTCACTTGGCATTTGCAAACATTGAATAAACAGACATTGTAATACACAGAGAATATAAGGAAAAAGACTCTTTGTTGATGTT